ATACAACTTGATTTACAAGCAAGTCTCCCCAATCACTGAGAAAAGGTCTTCAAATCAATGTATTTGCTTATAATGTAGTTTTGTTTTGTTTCTTAACCTAGAATTTGAAACTCTTCAAAAATTAAATGTACGTTACAATTTAAGTGACAAATTCATAAACATGTTTTTGACTTGCTTACCTGAAATTGAGTGCTGCTGGTGGGTGCAGAATTGTGGGAGACATTTGGGCAATTCAAATACAGAACCGGAAGTGGTTGAATCTTTCGTGGTCTTTTCCCCATGAACAGAAATTCACCTTAAAGAAATTAGTTTTATACGATTCTTTGATTATCAAAATGCATGATTTCACAGTCACACATCAAAAATGCGTTTTACTATGCATTTATTATAGTGAAGAATAGGGACTAACGTAAACACTGAACAATTCGCATTGAGATTAACTGTGTTAAATTCATGACAAGTTATGTTTTCTTAAGATATTTAAACTACGTAAGAAAGTTTCCTTTTTTAAGAAAAATTTTTTGAGGTTTTCGTTTGCCATTGGAGCTAGGGCTCCAACCCTGGCCTTGCACACACTAAACACATTCTTTCTCAAAGTTGCTTGCTATTTGTTTTTATGTTTTTGAGACTCCTGCCTGCTGAGTGTTGGGATTACACGTGTGTGCCACTGTCCCTAGCTTGTACTTGTTAAAATGCATGCATGCATACACATATGCACACAGACAGACAGGAAAGGGCTTGAGAAGCAGAGGGGAGCCCAGTGATTTCAGGAGCTCTTTCCAGGGATTGGTTAAGAATACTCTTGCTTTTCCTCATTACACTTTTCTGAACTCCAGATGAACCACAAATGAGGTCTTATTTATTTTATTTTGTTTTGTTTTTATTTACTTATTTTTTGGGGTCCGGTCGTGGGCCTGAACTCTGGGCCTGGGCGCTGTCCCTCAGCTCTTCAGCTCAAGGCTAGTGCTCTACCACTTGAGCCACAGCATCACTTCCGGCTTTTTTCTTTTTGCTTATGTGGTGCTGAGGAATCGAACCCAGTGCCTTATGCATGCAAGGCAAGTGCTCTACCACTGAGCCACCTTCCCAGCCCCTTATTTATTTTAAATTAGAAAAATAACCATTTTGCGAGGGATGAGGAAGACTGACCCAATCCTGGATGAGCCAGGCATCTGAGGACCTTGCGGCTGGGTTTTCATAACAAAGGCTTCATAAAATGTGAGTCCCCAGTGCAGCGCGAGAGCCTTCTTGGAGGCCACCAGCCTCCAAGGCTGAACTCCCCAGCTCTGGGAGGATTTTCCACCAGCAGCTTCTCCCCTCAGCTATCCAGACTGCGGAGCTCTTCCCTGGCAACCTTGAAACTGCCACGGATAGTGGGGGTAGTGCGGGGTTCCTATAACTTTTCCCTAGGCTGCAGCCCCTGGCTGGCAGGAGGACGTGAGCTGAAAGACCAGGTGCTAAGCCAGCTGGAAAGCGAGCTGATTATCCCAGCCCAGGCCCAGGGAAAGGAGGAGGGAGTGGGGGGGGGGGGGTGGAAAGTCAGACCTTCAGCCATGCCAAGAAGCCTGGGGCTGTTCAGAAAGAACTCTCTGGTGAAGGCCAGACAATTCTAACTAGAACGCCAGAGCCTGGAAACCAAATGAACTGCAAGACAGCTATTAATAATCCCCACGTGCTACGTTTGAAGTTGAACTCCTCAGCCATTTAGAGGCCAAGGCTGCCTTCCTCTCACCTTGTCAACAGGGTGGGAGGGGGAAGGGAGGAAGGAAGAAAAGAAGCAAGACCAGGCAACCGAAGCCTTCCTAGGTATATAGAGCGCTCTGTGTGTGTTTATGTAACACATCCAGAGAAGAGCGGACACAGGTAATACTTTTACATTGGTTACTCAGCAGGAAAGTTTTCAGAAAGGAATTTGTATTATGAGACTAGCAGGGGATGGATACACAGGCAAAACTTCTATCTTCTTTCTGGAATCGTACAATTGTTTTTTGAGGTCAGCTTTTGTTTGTTATTTGGGTGGGTGCATGATGGTTGCAAAGGCAGAATTTTAGGTCATTGTAGCCTGGAGTCTGCCCCACCTCTGCTCATCTCGGCCCTTCTCCGTCAACAATGCAGCAAGGAAGCACACTGCAGTTTTATCTTCCAGCTCATTTGCTGACCCTCTGCTCAGCATTAGCACGGTAGATGGTACTGTCTTGGAGATTGATTTGCACAGGGCAAATTCTTAAAAAATAGTTTAATTAGTGTTAAGTAGGTGTACAATGGTGATTTCTAGTCCACAAATCAGTTAATAAGTACAATGTATCGAGTATGTGTGTGTGTGTGTGTGTGTGTGTGTGTGTGTGCGCGCGTGCGCGCATGCTTGTGTACCAATCCAGGGACTGGAACTCAGGGCCTGAACACTGATGTCTAGTGCTCTATCACTTGACTGGAGTCACAGCTCTACTTCTGGCTCTTTGGTAGTTAACTGGAGATAAGAGTCTCATGGACTTCCCTGCCCAGGCTGGCTTTGAACTGTGATCCTCAAATCTCAGCTCCCTAAGTAGCTAGGGTGATGACAGGCGTGAGCCACCAGTGCCTGGCTAGTAGAAGCATCTTGATCAGCATCTCCCCTTCCATCGTTCTCCCCCACCTCTCCCCTATCCACCACCCACTCCCTCAAGTTACGGTGGTTCTGTTTTCACCCAGGCACATAGGACAGAAGGACTATGTTGGCCCACCCTTCCTCTCCCCACCATCTGCTCCTCCTCTCCTTGTCCACCCCCTACCCCCCAATCATGTTTCAGCTTCCTGGGATTCATTTTGTTAAACTGTTCTTCAGTTGTTGTTCGTTCAGAGTTATACCATTGGGATCCTCTCCTGGGGACAAGTTCTAAATCCCTCTGCTGACTGAATTCTCTGCAAGCCAAATCCTCTGTTCCCCATCTCGGATGGGAATCTGACTGACCCTTGAACAACCATCTGTGACCCTGACCTGGCCAGGATCTATCCCAGAGCAAGCCCTGTGAGGCTGTGAGGCGGGAGGAGAGCCAGGCTGGGAGAGCCCATACCTCTGTCCTTGACAACGACTTCATTTCCTTCTAGCTGGGAACGCTGTGACTGTGCTCGCTATGATAGCTGGCAACTTTCTCGTCACTTTACTATTTCATCTTCCAGAAAAGTCCCTACAACACAGGTTTTCATGAAACAGCCATAGATTCCCCCCAAGCTCAATCTTTGTATAATTTTAAAATAACTTCACTTGTCCTCAACATAGATTGGAAAAGCAGTCAGTCCTTCTCTCGGCCCTGCTTCCAGTGGTTCAACCTAGTAGCACCTGGTCTGCCTCATCTGTGTGCTGAGAACAATGAATAGCATTTATGGTGTAACAAAGTGCACTGAATTCTCCCAGCAACACCCCCTCCCACAGGGGTAATCAGCCTGAGTATTATTAGATATTATGCCCCTTTTATAGTTGAGGAAACTGAGACTCAGAAGCATTGTCTCGCCAAAGGTCATACCACTAATAAGTAACAGAATTAAACTCCAGGGCTCTGCTCTAACAACCAAGCATTACCCCACCAGCCACACCTTCTCCCATTGCTCTAATAGATACTATCAGCGCCCCTCAATTTACCCATCAGAAAATCATGGAACCAAGGCGCAGCTACCAGGTTCCTGGAGTTGGCAGCGCTGGACCTATCCTCCTGTGTTTCTTGGGTGGAGCACCTGGAGGTTACATGACCTGCCAAAGGTCACCCCAGGAGTGAGTGGAAAATGACCAATGTCATTTTTTAAAATTAGTTAAAAGAACTGCCAACCAAGCCCACTTTTATGGCTTATTTTAAACAAGTTAATAAGTATACCAAGCACAGGTTTAAACCCAAGTGAGTAAATGCTGACACTAGTTTATAGATCAGGCTGATAAGAAGCAATAAGGAATTATTCTTCTCTCATTTATCATCTAGCCCCTCCAACATGCAAGTTATAAAGAGAAGCAAATAGCAGTTCAGAACTCCCACATCTGGGGCTGGGAATGTGGTTTAGTGGTAGAGTGCTTGCTAGCATGCATGAAGCCCTGGGTTCGATTTCTCAGTACCACATAAACAGAAAAGGCTGGAAGTGGCACTGTAGCTCAACTGGTAGAATGCTAGCCTTGTGAGCAGAAGCAGCTCAGGGACAGTGCCCAGGCCCTGAATTCAACCCCCAGGACTGGCAAAAAAAAAAAAAAAAATCCCACATCTGAGATCAAAACACTGAAAAGAAAATTGCCCATTTATATTGCATCTCTGCCCAAAGACTCCTGAGATGTGAAAAAAGAAAATATTTGGGAACTATATCTGCATTTCACAAGTAGATACATTTTGTTTGAGCTAGTCATGGGCTTGAACTCAGAGACTGGATGGTGTTCCATTCAACACTGTCCTTCTTCCACGTGAACCACACTTCCACTTTCAGCTTTTTTGTTTTCTTTTGGTGGTTAATTGGAGATGAAATCTCATGGACTTTCCTGCCTGGGCTAGCTTCAAATGGGGATCTTCAGAAATCAGCCTCCTGAGTAGCTAGTATTACTGCGCCACTGGTACCCAGAAGCACATTTCTTATATAGAACTCTACGTTTGGTCTTCAGATGTATTCAATCATTAATTCTTTCTTCAGAGTAAGTATTGAGCACCTACTGCATACTGTGGACAATTATAACATTATTATATACCATTCTGGCCATCAAGAATCTTGCAAATTTTTTTTCAGCTTATGCCTTTCATTAATTCATACATAATCGCTTGTCTTCTGGTTTGTTGAAGCAGAAAGTTAGACAACACTTGCTACAATCATGTCTGTCAAAATGGCTAACAATAAAAACCCAGGCACCACATTCATCTGAAGGGCACTCTCAACAAAGATGGCTAATTTTGCCATTTTCATTCACGTTATAGTATTCCAGGACAGCCAGTTTAACCTTTCTCTTGTGCTTGTTCTTCTTGGGAGTTGGTGTGAGACGTTTTCTTCCTTAGCACAACCCTGAAATCTCAACACTAGGTGAAGAGTGGACTCCTTTTGAATGCTGTAGTCAGATAAAGTACATCCATCTTCCAGCTGCTTACCTGCAAAGATCAGGCTTTGCTGATCAGAAGGAATTCCTTCCTTAGCCTGGATCTTGGCCATTACATTTTCTATAGTATCCAAGGGCTCAACTTCGAGTGTGATGGTCTTCCCTGTAAGGGTTTTGCTGAAAATCTGCATCTTGGCAGTGGTCTCACCGCTGATGGTTGGTAGATTGGAAAGGGTGCCCCCTGCCCCCTGGGGTTTCCTGTCTCTCACTTGAATCTCTACTCCATGGAACTCTAAGAAGGTGCCTTGAATAGGGGAAGGCTACTTGGTAGGGCTGGAGTAGCCACAACAGAGCTGTGGGAAGAGGTGGCTTTGCTTTATCCCATCCCCAGCAACACAATGAGAATGGGGCGAGCAAAGAAGAGTAGGAATTGATGCTCCCAATTAAGAACTTAATCTAAAATTCCCGAGAAGCCCAAACAACCTGGTAGAGAAATGGATTGTGTCCATCCATCTGTTACTATATATTTGCAAAATATGTTGGCAATGTATGAAGAGACAATTTTGCTTATAAGGGAGGTGAGCCTAATAATTCTTCAGGTGTTGTTTAGTGAGCTGCTTTATTTTTATTTTATTTTTTATCAGGTCACATTTACCAATGGATCTCAGGCCCAAAGTTCAATGTCAGTACAGAGCAGCCACGATCTAATAAGTGACTTTACACTCAGCTCCCCACACAGGAAGCCTTGAGACACTGCTGGGAGAAGCAATGGCCGCTCCTTCACCTTTTCTCCAGTGCTGGCATGGGGCTTCTGGGCCCATAGCTGTAAAACAGATCATGTTTTATGGATGGATGGAGGATATTTATTCTAAAATGCTTTACTTAGTCCCCAGAGTAATTGAAGCTCAGCAAATTCTAGTGACTTCTACATAAGGTAACCATACAACTTAGGTAAATCATGAGCATTTGCCTGTGCCACTAAGAATTACACAGGATGGCAGGTGTTCACTAAGTTGTGTCACAGGTGACCAGGTACATTGTGTCACCCCATACAATGACAGGAAAAATAAGACCCAAGTCAGAACTGTTGTGTTTCCTCCATGCCTACAATTGGCATATTGTTTTTATTTTGATGGCTGGTATGTTTATCCATCCACCGGGTATTTGGAAGATACAGAGTCTAGAATGTGACATGTACTCTCAGTGCCCATAGGTCAGCCTCTCCTCAGTCTGAGGAGGGCATACGGTGCCTGTGGTCCCACTCCCAATCCTTCACCAAGCTTTTACCCATCACTGCCATTGACTGGCCCATGATAACTGTGTCTAGTTCTCTGCAAAGGGTGGGAGTTAAACCAGGGTCCAAGGCCCTGGGATTTACCCTGGGAGTCCAGAGCTGCCTTATCACTAATTGCTAATCCTCTTACACTCTGATTGCATTGCAGTGAGGAAAGTCTGGCCTTGGGATTCAGATTTATGGCGAGAGATATCAGTATCCCAGGCAATAGGTTGAGGTGGAAAAGCAGACTGTGTGTGACCTCTCAGGACACCTAGTACTGGCCAGCCACATACATCCCCGGCTGTGCCCCTCAAGGCCTCTTTGACTTCTAGAGGTGTCCTTCGTCTGCTTTGTGTGCTAATTGCTTCATCTGGATTGGACCAGAATCCTACAGGTCCAGTGCCACCCCAGAGTTGTGTGTCAGTGTCCCAAAGAGGGCACCTGACTGATAAGTGGGCCAAAGGTAGGTAGGTAGGCTCATGGTCACCCTACCAACAGGGGACTTTCCCGCTAAGGGGCTGATGCGACATCGCGTGGCATCTTCTGCATGTGATCTTCTCTGCATCCAGAGGAAGACACCCTAGCCTATGTGTCTCAAGCACATCTCATTGATGCAGGGGAGAATTTAACACAGTCTAAGATAAGCTGGAAGCCTGATTTTCTGAATTTAAGTCAGTGAACTGTCACAAAACGTCTAGCACATGTCAGAAAATACAGAAAATACAAAGCTATCTGGCAGGATTTCTGTCGTCAAGGATATTGATATTTGGGGAAGAAAGGGATGTATGTAGAGTTTAAATTGACACCTAATGCATTAGAGCCAGAACAGTAGGGAAGGGTGTGTGTGTGTGTGTGTGTGTGTGTGTGTGAGAGAGAGAGAGAGAGAGAGAGAGAGGAGACTGGAATGGATATGGAAGCTTTTTTAGTATCAAATAAGAAGATATGTTAGAAAGTTCTCACCTTCTTCCCTTTATTCCCCATAGCACCAGTACAGGCTCAGAACACAGTTCCTTCCTTCCTTCCTTTCTTTCCTTCCTTCCTTCCTTCCTTCTTTCCTTCCTTCTTTCCTTCCTTCCTTCCCTTCTTCCTTCCTTCCTTCCTTTGTGCCAGTCCTGAACTTTATTGCTCCAACCTAGTACTCTACCACTTGAGCCACAGCTCCACTTCCAGTTTTTTCTGAGTAGTTTATTGGAGATATGAGTCTCACAGACTTTCCTGCCCAGACTGTCTTTGAACTGCAATCCTCAGATCTCAGCCTCCTAAGTAGTTAGGACTACAAGTGTGAGCATCAGTGCCTGGCTTTTTTCTTTTCTTTATTTAGTTTCAGTACCAGAGCTTGAACTCAAGACCTGGGTACTGTCCCTTAGCTCTATTGCTCAAGGCTAACATACTTTTACCACTTGAGTCACAGCTCCACTTTTGGCTTTTTGCTGGTTAATTTCCTGCCCTGGCTGGCTTCAAATCAGGACCCTCAGATTCAACCTCTTGAGTAGCTAGGATTATAGGACAGCCCCTGGCTTAGAGGGGCAGTTTTTGCATTCTGAACTCAAGGCCCATGAGTTACCTTCACTGCTGATTAAGCTGGTCAGATAGTTAGTGTCTTCACCTGTAAGATGGGTGACGGATTAACTGTGCAGATAGAGATAATTCCTGCAGCTTACTTGGCACCATGCCTGACAAATAGTGATGCCCAGTGTTAGGTATTACTGCAGGTTTCCACTTGCAGCCTTTATCATACTTATTCAAATGGGTCTCCCATTCCGAATTCCTCATGAAACACAATTATTATCTATGGCTAAGACTGAGTTCAAATCTAGAGGCCCGTGTCTCCAGACTCCATTATCTGGGACCAAGAATGAGCCCAGTGGTAGAGAACTACTTCACTTGCACACCTTGGCAAAAATCAATCTGTCACTCAAAGCCACAAAACACTGGCAGAGGAAGGGACCCCGCAGACATTTACCTCGATCTCTTCATTTTACAGACAGCTACCCAAGGCCCAAATAAATAAAGTGACTAGCTTGTGGTAACCGCCTCATCGGGTGGCAGTCACAGGGACAGAGCTACCAGGTCCCCAGGCCCAGGACAGAACCAAGATGGAGGAAGGCGGAGACGGGAGAGGAGGCGCGGAGGCTGGGAGGGAATGAGGCGCCCGGCCCCTTTCGGGCCGAGCAGGCCGGTGTTCCTTCCAAGCGGGGGACCGAGCCAGGGAGAACGCGCGAACCGAGCGGCGCGGAACCCTCCCTGCCGCCCTCCCCTGCGCACGCACCCGCTCTTCGCACAGGTCTGCGGGGTCTGCCCCTGTGCACACAGGCGCACGAACTCGTACACAACCGTCACCGCTGTTCTGACGGCGCCGATCGCGCGCGGCGTCGGTCACCGGTGGAACGGCCGGGAGCGGTGGGTCTGGACTCCCGCGGCCGCGGCGCTTTCCCCGGGACGCGGACCCGGCGCGGGTAAGAGCGTGGGGACCCTGGGCGGGCGGGCGCGCGGACCCGGCGCGGGGACGAGGTCGGGAGGGGCCGCGCAGGGCCGCGCACGCGCGGGGCGGGGAAGGGAGCGGGGTCGGCGCACCGGGCGCCAGGTTCGGGGGATGCTTCTCGGCGGGGCCCAGGCCGGGGCGCGCCGGCGGGGCGGGGGACGGCCGGCCGGGGGCTGACCCCGAGCGCCGCGGAGTCTGCGCCCGCCCACCGTCCCGCGCTCGCCTCCCGCCGCCTCGGGTTACGGGCGGGCCGTCAGTGCGCACCCCATCAATAAGGCCTGACAGGCCGCCGGCCCCGCGGCCATCCATCACCCCGGGCGGCGCGGCCGGCGGCCGTCGGGCGGGGCCGGGCACGCGGGAGCCGGGAGCCGGCGCCCGCACCCCCCGGGGACAGCCCGCGGGGTCCCCTCCCCGGCGGGCCCCGCGCGTCCCGGGCCGGGTGGACCGGGTGGAGGCCCCGGGGGCCCGCAGAGCCGGCGATGGGACAGCGTCAGTCGGTCCAGCGACCCGCGTTCGGCTCTACCCCACTGTTTCATCCCAGTGCCACTCAAACCGTGCGTGTCCTAGATCCCGGACGCGTGTGTGAGCAACGCGGGCCCCCTCGTGTGCGTGCTCGCGCGTGCACAGCCACGCGGAAAACGGAAGCGAGGGTCCAAGGAGGAAAAACACCCTTGAATAGAATACGTTTCCTTCTTCCCGATCGTACTTCCGGCCCGGCGTCCCTGCCTCTCCGGAAGGGACTTGGGCTCTCTTCCCGCGTCCATCCGCCCGGCGCTCTCCCCAGATTCGGGGCACGGGATCCCCGTCCTCTCCGGTCTGCACGGTTGGGGTGGACACCGGGGTTCGGCTGGCACCACCGCGGGGACTCGCACGACTCGCGGGGATCGCTGGAGCTGGAGCGCGGGGCCGCCCGCCGTTCGGCGAGGGTGGGGAATTCAGATAATCCGCTGCCCGGACCGAGAGGCTGAAAGAAGTCAAAGATCCCGAGGCCAAGTTCAGCCTCTGGGGCGGAGAGCGGGCTCACGGCGTCGGTCGGACTCACCTAGGCCCTCCCGGGGCCTCGGGAGCCCCTTTTTCTTTAGGTCCCCGGAATCTCCCCGCAGGCGGCGCGGTTCCCCCGGTTCAGGGTCCCGAGCTTCTTTCCTTTCTCACCTTTTGTTCCCTGGCGGCTTCTCTTAGCCAGCGCTGCAGGGGTTGGGATGAGCTCTGTTCCGCCACCAAACGGCTTTGTTTCTCGTTTGTTTTTGTTATGGTGATGTTTGTTTGTTTTTTAATGTCTCTGCTGGTTTTTTTTTTTCTTCCTCTAATTTCGAGTGTAAAAGATGAAATTAAAACCACTGAGGGA